CAACCCTCGGGGCTGCTCCTGCGCCTCGCTCAGCCAGTGAGCGGGAACCGGTCTGTATGTGGGATCCGAACCCTCGGCGGGAGCGCCGCCGCGCTTCCCAAGCAGCGCACTTATCCAGTGCGCCACCGGGCAGGCCCGCCGAGCTCCTTTTGATTCCTACCCTGGGAAGCCGATGGTTCAGAATGGAGAAAGATTACCTCTTTCACGCCTTATTTAATAATAAGAATAGCTGAATATTTAATATTCGTTTTTTAGGATGTATCAGCATATCCTAGCATCAATGTGGCTGCTCCACAATGGCCTAGTCAAAATGTTATATGCCTGTTTGGGATGAGAATATAGAGACACTAACTGGATGAAAGCAAAAGGGGTTAGCTCAGCTGGTAGAGCATGGTGTTGATAACACCAAGGTCCAGGGTTCAGTCCCTGTTACCAGCCAGCCACCAAAAAAATAAAATAAAATAAAAAAGCAAAAGGGATCAAATCTCCAACCTTGGCTTCATCAATTGTCTACTCTGTACCCTTGGCAACAAATATTTATTTAAATTGAACTAATTAATGAAATTTCTTTTCATCATAAAAACAGACATTGTTGTTTCTAGTTGCACTGACTGAATAGCTTTCACTTATAAATTATGGTCCAAACAAGAAATAATTGCCCTAGCTTAGGTATTTTGGTTCACAATGTAAATTCTATAAGATGTTTCCAATTTGAAAAAATTAAAGCATATTTTTTTATTGATAATAAAGTTGTGTGCAAATTGAAATTTTGATCCTTATAAGTTTATTGTGAAACCTTTACTGTGGCACCAGACAAAGGCAATCTTATGTAATCCCAGAAAAATAATTTTGCTTTGACATATACAGAACTGATATTTTTTGGAAAGATTCTGTGATTATTAGTACATGTGTTTACTTGCTAGTCTAGAATTTTGCCACTATTTTTTCGTAAAGATCCCCGATAAGTAAAAGCTTCTCCTCTGTTCCATTCGCTGATAGGTGTGTGGTTTCTTACCCCCATAGGCGGCCGTGTCGACTCTTCAAGAAATGGCACCAGGAACAACATTCAAACCGGTCATTGGTGATTCATCTGTGGATCCAAAAAAGTAATTTGATGTGTATCTCTGTTTTCATACTTGGGTAGAATTTTAATTAATGGGAAAATTAGTTCACGGTAAGGAATCCACAGTGACCCAAATCTCCTCTATCCTGACATAAGCCCTGTAAGTCGGTGGGGGAGAATTAGCGTGTGCATGGAAGAGTGAACTTCAGAGGCGTATGTGGTGAAAGGATTGCCAGAGCATAGCCTGTGACTGAACCAGCTACAGAACTCCCACTAATACATTACTGAGGTATTTAAACCCCCATCATCTCCCCTTTCTTCTGATACAGTTCTTACTTCTCCCCACCCCATTGCCCCTTCTCTGCCCAACAGTGTTAAGACACTTGTATTCTGCTGTGGCAAACATTTCTATGCCCTGCTGAAGCAAAGAGAATCTTTGGGGGCCAAAAAGCATCACTTTGCCATTATCCGAATAGAAGAACTCTGCCCTTTCCCCTTGGATTCATTACAACAAGAGATGAGCAAATACAGACATGTTAAAGGTAAAGAGTGGGTCTTGTTCGGGTTTTTTTGGCTTTCAAATATATGAAACCTATGCAAACTATTTCAAATGAAATAGTGGGGGGACCATGAGAGTTATCAGAAGTTTGATGTTCACGGAATCTGAAGATAACGAGAAAAGTTCCACTAGAGCCAGTGCCTCCATGTCCTGGCTTTCAAATATATGAAACGTATGCAAACTATTTCAAATGAAATAGTGGGGGGACCATGAGAGTTATCAGAAGCTTGATGTTCACGGAATCTGAAGATAACGAGAAAAGTTCCACTAGAGCCAGTGCCTCCATGTCTGTCTCAGTGTCACTCTGTGTCATTCTTTCTCTCATCTAAAAGTAATTTCTTGAGAGTTTGGGGGTAACGTTATTCCACCATTTATGAGAAATACAGTGTAATCATAAAAGACAGGCCCTTCAACAAATGGGGCTGGAATATTGGATGTCTGTATGTACCTTACACAGAAATTAACTGAAAACTGATCATAGACCTAAATGTAAAATGTAAAACTCTAAAACTCCTAGAAGAAAACAGGAGAAAATCTTTGTGACCTTGGATTAGGCAAAAAAGTTCTTAGACATGACACCAAAAGCAGGTTCCATAAAAGAAAAATTGGGCTTTATCAAAATGAAAAGTGTTTGCATTATGTAAGGCCTGTAAAGAAAATAAAAAGACAGGCCACAAACAGGAAGAAAATATTAGCAAATACATATCTGACAAAGGACTATGTAGAATTTTTAAAGAGCTCTTAAAACTCAATGGTAAGAAAACAAATAATCCAATTTTTCAAAATGTGCAAAAGCTTTGAATAGGTACTTCTCCAAAGAACTTGATGGCAAATAAGCACATGAAAAGATGCTCAATATCATTAGCGATAAGGGAAATGAAAATTAAGTCAAAATGAGGTATGGCTACATACCTGTTAGAATAGCTAAAATTAAAACAGAAGAAGTGCTGGGGATGCAGAGCAACTGGGACCCTCACTCACTGCTGGTGGGAATGCAAAATGGTGCAGACACTCTAGAATAAACAGTCAGTTTCTTATCAAATTAAACATTGAGTTACCATATGACCCAGCAATCCCACTCCTAGGTATTTACCTGAGAAAAATGCAAACACAGTCACACAAAAATCTGTATGCAAATGCTTATAGCAGCTTTATTCATAATTGCTCCAAACTTGGGCCGGCCCGGTGGCGCACTGCTACAGTGCGCCGCTTGGGAGTGCGGCGGCGCTCCCGCCAAGGGTTCGGATCCCACATACGGACCAGCCGCTCACTGGGTGAGCGAGGTGCGGGCGCAACACCGAGGGTTGCAATCCCGTTGCCGATCCATTGCCGGTCCCGGTCCGGTACGGG